GCTCAGCTCCCACATGGTAGTCTGGAGCTGAGTGAGGTGGGTCTCTCTTGTAAACCCAATACTTAGGAGCTCGAGGCAGGAGGATCTCTAGCTGTTGGAGGTCAGTCTATGAGATTTAGTGAGGTGTTGTCTCAAAAAAACAAAAAACAAAGAACAAAACAAAAAAGACCTCAGAAAGAAATAGCTAGAGACATAGCCTAGTGGCTTAGAGAACTTGCTGTTGCTCTTACAGAGGACCCGGATTTGATTCTAGCACCTGCATGGGGGTTCATAGCCATTCCTAACTCTAGTTTCAGGGAACCTGATGCCTTTAACAAAGCCCTGTTTAATTCAAAAATCTCGGGTGCTAGCCAGGTGCCAAGGACCTATAACATTTAGCTATTCAGAAGGTTGAGGCAGAAAGGTTTATGTTTAAGGCCTGCCTGTGATATATAAAGAGTGGGGTGCACACACACACACACACACACACACACACACACACACACACACACACACACACACACGGGGTGGGGGTGGGAGTGGGGCTGGGAATGTAGCTCCGTGGCCTAACACATTTAAGGGCCCCGGATTTAATTTCTCCTACTGAAAACCAAACAAAAACAAATCCTTACCTGCTCGCCTTGCTTCCTTCTGACTCTGTTGGGCAAGCCAGCACCCTCAGCATGTCAAGGAGTCAGGCCACTCCTTGTGTCCCACAGTTCCACTCTGTCCAGCGAGCCCTGGGCAAGTGCGGGACACAGCCCGGTCTCCCCGCTCCCAAGCATGTGGCTGGGAGGGAAAGGGCTGGGCAGAAACCTGTGTCTGGCCTTGTGTTCCCAATCTGCTCTGGGCAGTTTGTGGGGTGGGAGACTCGGCAGAGAGTCCGGGCGAGCTGGGTGGGTGGTGGGGTTGGGGATTCCACCCTCACAGCTTCCTCTCTGTTTTTGGAAAATGTCCCCCCGGCAGTGCAAACGCTGCGAGCAGCTTTTCCCCGCCTTTGACACGGACAACCTTTCTAAACTGCCGAGCCGGTGCTCGTTCTGTCGGGTAGAGGATAAGAAAGTAGGGTTGGCTTCTTCTTCGTCATCAAAGTCCAGCTTTGACTCCCTGCCCAGCTGAGTGGCCCTATCCAACCGAGGCAGGGGCCTGGCCCTCACCAGACTCTCAGCGTGGTGCTGTCTCTTAGACAGACAGACACACACACACACACACACACACACACACACACACACACAACCCTTTAAGGGCGAGCACTTTTTGTTTGAATGTAGAATAAATCGAGATTTCTTTTGAAAACCAAGTGCGGGGGGAATTGTAGAAGCTTTACGTGCCGGTGTCCATCTCACTTTTGGG